TACTGAGCGCGGCTGTTTAGTGTAGGGTTTTGGTATTCATGGGGTTCAGGTTCTGGGGACATGGGGGAGGTTAGTAGTATTGGGGATCTGGTTGGCGATGAAAGCACTGAGGCTGGTTGGTTGCGCATGTTACTCTTGTGCTGATTGTCTTTAGGATTTTTGTCTTGAGTTCTCAGCAGAACTCTATTGATTTCTTGGTGGAATCTTTTTAAAACCCTAAGGCGGAGAGTTAAACATTCAGGACTACGTAAAATTCTCACTGAACGCGATTCTCAAAGAAGGGAAATGCTTTTACAGCCTTTTGACAGTATGTTTTAAATGTACATTGCAATTGTTTCTCTTTGGACTCAGGAGATAGATTTTGTTTAAAATCTTACATTCTGAGTCCTGAGACATTTGAAAGCGTTTGAAGTCTCTCTGAATGTAGTGAAAGTAAAATACTTTTAACTAACGAGCCTGCTGATTTCAGTCACCTAGTTACCTACGAAATGCCTTGAGGCGTGATTAGGGTGTTAATCCCTTCAGAATACAAGCAGAATACACTGATGGTTCAGGGTGCGAAGAGGCTCAGTGTGCAAAGAAAACGCATTGTGAAATTTTGGAACTCTGTTTTACATCTTCTAGCTGAGGTTGATAAAAGTTTTCATCTTTTACCTACCTATTGTGAGGCTCCATCAGGTTTCCACGAAAATACATGAGTATGCCGGCAATAGGAAGTATTTGTGATACTTTGTTACTGGAGAATTAAATACTTGGTTGTCCATGACTAAAAGACTTAGAGACAGCTTCATATACTCTTGTAAAACATTCCCTTTCATTTTTGATGTAATATTTATTGAATGAGACAAAGCTTAACCTTCGCAAAAGAGGTCTTTTTGAGACAGGGTCGTCTTCTAACCTTCAGTTCTGGTTCAGCCTCTTTCGTGCTGGTATTACTAGTGTGGATCAACACACTTGACTGAGATTTTTTTCTTTCAGCGCAAAATCCTCTATTTTCTAAGTGTTAGGATTAGAGGTGTGTGGCTCCTCCCCTCCCCACAGCTTCTGACAGGGAGAGAACTAGGTGTCACCTTTAGGAGGTTTTCTTTCTTTTTTTTTTTTGAGACAGGGTTTCTCTGGCTTTGGAGGCTGTCCTGGCACTAGCTCAGGGTGGTCTTGAACTCAACAGAGATCCGCCTGCCTCTGCCTCCTGAGTGCTGGGAAGTTCTTGTAGTAATACACTATTCTGGGCGGTGGTGGCTCACACCTTTGATCCCAGCACTCTGAAGACAGGTGGGCGGATCTCTTTGTGTTTCAGGCCTTGGTCTACAGAGTGCCAGGACAGCTAGGGTATATGGTGAAATCCTGTCTCGAAAAACCAGAAAAAAAAACTTACAAGAAGTTTCATATATGTCTTGTGCATAGCTGTGGAAAAAGACTATGATCATGGATCGAGTGATTTGGTTTTCTATAGAGGAGTTGTATAAATTTATTGAATTGTGTTCTATTTGTAAGTTTTTGGACCGGTTTATGGAGAGGCATCTGTTTTATTACTGTGGAATAATTTTGTGTGATGATTCCTACACGTATCTCAAGCATAGACCTCAGCTGAATTCCACATTCTGTGTCCAGATCCATGCATTTCGATATCTAACCCAGGAGCTGGGGTTGGTGGTAGATTTATGGCTAGGACCTTAGCATTTGGGAAGCTAAAATAAGCTTTAGTCAAGTCTCAAGCTACGTAGTGAGACCCTATTTCAAAAAATACCCCACAGACAGATGTAGTGGTACATGGCTTTAATTTCAGCATAGGCAGGTCAATCTACAGTCTAGGACAGTGAGTGTTACACAGTAAAACCCTGTCTCAAACCAACAAATCCCTTCCCACCTCCCAACACACACAAAGAAACCACACAGAGACACACACAAAAAAAAAAACACATAGAAAAAAGTTTTTAGGATAACTTCATTAGACTAACATTTGTGGTCTAAACCAGAATACCTTTGAACAGGAAAAAAGATGCTATAATATAAATACAGTAGTGAACACTTGTAGCCCCAACACTATGGAGGTCAAGGCAGGAGGATCAGAAATTAAAGAACAGCCTGTAGGCAACTTAGGGAGTTTGCTGTCAGCTTGGACTGCTTGGTATTATGTATCAATAATAATGCCCAGTGGGCTGGAAATGTAGACTAAGGGGTAGAGCATTTGCCAGTTCCTGACTCTGGCTCACCAAGCACCAAAAAAAAAAAAAAAAAAGCAACAGCAAGCATACATGGGGACTGTGCTGTCCAAACCATGATGGTCATTTCACTTTTACTTTTATTTTTTTTTATTTTCGAGACAGGGTTTCTCTGTATTGCTTTGGAGCCTGTCCTGTAACTTGCTCTGTGGACCAGGCTGGCTTAGAACTCACGAAGATCTGCCTGCCTCTGCCTCCTGAGTGCTGGGATTAAAGGCGTGCTCCACCACCACCCAGGCTGTCACTTTTACTTTTAAGGCCCTGAGAGAACTGTCTTATGTACTCTACGTTTTTAATTTATATGCTCATAGTCTCCTTCTGTTCCATCTACCTGTCGTAACCTTGATGTTTCTTGGTAGTTCTTGGCACAATTTACAATTGGATGATGCCTCTGCTCTTTTTCTGGAAATACATGTGGTTTTCCTTCTCATTTCCTTTAGCTCTAATCTCACATATATTTTAGATCAAAGACTTTCTCCAAGAACTCTACACCTTCTGTCCTCCTCCTTTGGTGTTTTTTCCCTATAATGCTTACTTCTTGAGACATCATTAACATACTCTGCCTCCCCCATGGAATAGAAAATCCAGGAGAACAAGGGTTTTAATTTGTTTTGGTTTCCCAGTGACAAGAACAATGTCTGGCATGTATTTGGGGCTTAACCAAATTTAGTACATGAATGAATGCATTTTCAGAAATACTTCTTTAAACCATGGGTAGTTAAGGGAAAAGCAACTTTTTATTTGTTTATTTGGAGGCACAGTTTCTCTGTAATAGTTCTATCTGTCCTTGAACTCACAAAGATCTGCCTTCTCTGACCCCCATACTCTGGGATTAAAGGTGTGCACCACCTCCGCCCTGCTGAACTGTTGTTGTTATTATTAATTTTTTTCAGACAGGGTTTCTCTGTGTAACCCTGACTGCCCTGGAACTAACTGTGTAGACCAGGCTGGCTTTGAACTCACAGAGATTCCCCTGCTGGGAATTAAAACCACCCCTGGCACCATTGCTATTCTTGGTATTTAAATAAACAACCCCATGACAAAATACCAATGCACATAAAATAAAATTAAAATTAAAAAAAAAGAAGAGCAAGACTGTCTCAAAAACAAAACCAAGAAGTTTTATTTGTCACATAACAAATTGAAAAAGGGGTTGAAATTACAGCCAGTTGTTGCTAGGAATTAAACCCCGGTCCTCTGGAAGAAGTCAGTGCTCTTAACCACTGAGCCATCTCTCCAGCCCTACTCTTGCTCTTCTATAGTCAAGGTTGGCATGGAACTTTGAATCCTCCTGCCAGAATTAATGTGTTAATGTACTTTAATGTAAAAGTCTTGAGGAACATGGTACTTAGTTTTTCAACATCTGGTTCTGTTTGAAACATGTAAGATAAAAAAACAGCTTTGAATGCAATGGTGGCAAATACATTCAGGAGGCAGAGGTAGGCGGATCTCTGTGAGTTTGAGGCCAGCCTGGTCTCCAGAGCGAGTGCTCCAAAGGCTCCAAAGCTACACAGAGAAACCCTGTCTCGAAAAGCCAAAAAAAAAACCAAACAAACAAACAAAAAAACAAAACAAAAAAACAAAAAATAAGATAATAACCTGGAAAAAAGTGATTATTTCTTTGATGCTACCTATATTCCTTGGTTTAGTTGTTTGGTTTTTTTGTTGTTGTTGTTCGAGACAGGGTTTCTCTGTGGCTTTGGAGGCTGTCCTGGAACTAGCTCTTATAGACCAGACTGGCCTTGAATTTAGAGATCTGCCTGCCTTTGCCTTCCAAGGACTGGGATTAAAGGCGTGTGCCACCACCATCCTGCCTGGTTTTAGTTTTTTAGACCAAGTCACTAGGGAGGTTTAGAGTATTAATGGCTACCTCTCCATTACCAATATCAAATGTCCTATTTGTAGACTTA